TCGATTTTGTTTCATTTTTAAGTTACTCGTTTTTAATTACGGGATGGTACTATGCATGTATTATGAAACCGCCCGAACACCCATTTAGCGACAGTTTTGTATGAGATGCGATCGGTATCGCTTAATTTGTTGACTTCGTGGTACAAGTGGGTTACCTTTATTGCAGGTTTATTTGGCACGGACTTATAATCATCCAATCAATATGGTGTAAAAGACAATTTTTTTGTACATTAAATTTCTTCGACGATAAATATATTTATTCCGTTAAGGATTTAATATCACCAACTCAAATAAACGTTTAAAGATGGGCGAAAAATTTAAATACAATTTTACGAAGTTCTTTTTATTTTTGTTGCAAAACCTTCGCACATAGATATATGACATCCGGACTTCTTCTTTATAGATAATTTAAGGTTCTACAACTTTTCTTTAGAAAGCATTCATATATTTTTTACCGTTTAGACAACGTTCACAAAAACAGGCACCATTTGAGGTACTTCTATGGCTAGGGAAGCTTTTAGTGGGATAAAAAGTCAGCTAATCTGTATACCAAATTTCATTAAAATCCGTTTAGTAGTTTCGGCGTGATTGACGGAAAAACATCTAAATATCCCAACATCCAAACAAAGAAACTTTCACATTTTTAATATTAGTAGGATTACAAACAGATTTATTTTTATCACTAAGCAAGCCTATCCAGTTAGGCTTGTAAAGGCTTGCTCGGTGATAAAAATAATACGACATCTTGCGTAGATACAATCTAGACAAAAGTGGGAGGCGTTCGTCGCTCAACCCTCGGTGTGGTAGAAGGTAGAAGAAGATAATGAGACACAAAATATTATATTCAGCAACTATTTTATTAAATAAAAATAAACAGTTATTAAAAATAGCAACAATATTACAAAAAAAAAAATCATTTATTCCTTTGCAATCAGCTTCCAGTTAGCATTTAAAAATATTATATGATTAAGATTTTTTGGAAGAAGCCGATTCCTTCTCAAATTAGTAGTCATGCCAGTTTTCGAAAAAATTCTCTCGGAGGGAACAGAAGTGGCTGGTATACTTGAATATTTTAAATGCATTTGATACAAACCAGGGCTATTTGTTTTCAAGCTTTTCTAATATAAGGATCGATTTTTCTGTCAAGTAGTGGTAATTCTAAGAATTGTCTCAAAGTTATTATGTTCTCCGTTGTACTCGTAGTTGTAGCACGATAATTAGCTTTTTTTTGCTCAAAGTAATCCCAAATTGATATTTTGTTTAGTGTGTTTTGATAAGATGACACTGGAGTTGGTTCTTGTTCACTTGTCGTTGGGTTGTTCTTTGTAGTCAATGACAATTCTTCTAAGCAACGTTGTTGAGCGTTTGTACCGTTGGATTCTACTCCAAATCCCAAATTTTTAAAACGTGGATCGAGAAGACATGCTATACCTACATGTTTGTTGCTTTCCAAAGTACCGAGACGGCGTTGCAGGACTTCTATCAAACTTTTTTTCATTTGGGATCCAGTTGGGGTTTCTGTAATGGTCGTGTTCAAATTGTAAAGAAACCCTCGTAGTAATGGGATTACTAATCCCATCGAAGCATATTTTTCTCCGGATAGTTGTTCCGTAATTTTTTTAATGTACTTCAAAAGCATCACACAGTCCATTAATATTTTCCAATCAGCGTTTTTAAGAGGTGCTGGAGCGCTATCAATTTCAGTTAACGCTACTGTAAGGGGTGCTTTGACTTCACATAGCCTTACGAACATTATATTCACGCTATTCCACCTCGTCCCTATATATTGTTTTAATTTAAGAACTGGCATACTCATCTGTTTTTGTTTCTCTGCTAGAATTTCTGTACTTTTAGCACTATGGCGGAAGTGACCAACAATTTTCTTGCATTTTTGAATAAAAATTTGAAGGTCTTGGGTTCCATTAATTGTTTCTTTGACACTTAAATTTAGTGTGTGTGCAATGCATGAATGATGATGTTTTTGCAATTGCTGGTTAATTGCTTTCTTCATATTTTGTGCATAGTCTGACACTATTATTACTATTTTGTTCAGAATATTAAATTCTTCAAAAATATGCTGTAATTTTTCTGCTATGTGTTCACTAGTATGCGGGCTTGGGAGTTCTTTAGTTGCAAGAACAAAAGATTGTAACTCGTCGTTATACACGCAATGGCAAGTAACTGTAATGTACGATTTATTAGAATCAGATGTCCATATATCTGTTGTCGCAGAACAATAAACGACATCATTTAAAATCTCTCTTAGACGTGCCGTAGCTTGATTGTAGTGATTGAGTAATATAGTTTGAGTAAGCACTTTTCTGCTTGGTGGTACATACACTGTATCACTACCACATATTTATTTTTGCAAGGTTTTAATAAAGTGCAAGAATCCACTATTTTCAACTACTTGCAATGGTTGGTAATCTACGCAAATCATTTTTAAGAGTGCAGAGTCAATACATTTCCTTTGCTGCTGATTTAGTACTTTTGTTACAAAGGGGGAAGACAAAGCTGTCTGTTTAAATTATTTTTCTGGGGGCCCACTCTCCTTAAAAGAACCTGCTTCTACCGTAGTTGAATTTTGCTCCAGGTTCCCTTCAAAGACACAATGAATTCTTTTTAAGTGTTCGCGTAGATTCGTTGTGTTTCCACAAAGTTTGATTTTTTTATTACACAGTTTACACGATGCCTCTTGCTTTGTTTTATCAAAATGAGACCATACGTAACTTTCCCTTCGCTTCATATTGACAAAATCTTAATATCAATCAGTACAAATGATCCGTCTCGTGCACTAATGTTTTGTACTCTAATTTGTATTTGTTGACATAAATCTATAAGGTTCGCCCATCGAGAATTCCCCGACCAAAGAGTAACGTTACCTTTTTGTCCATGCAAGTATTCCAAGATTGATATAATAAGTAATAGAAAATCTACTAATAATATTCACACTAGCGATCCGTTGTGGGTTGCTGAGCCATCGATTTAAAATAAGTAGGTACTATAGTAACGTTTTAAACTATTCCTATTGCTAACGTTTTAAGAAATAATCGATGGTTAATCGTCGGTTAGGAAACCATAATCGATAGCCATCAATTATTTGAATAATCGATTAATCGATTAATAGTAATCGATTCCGCACACCATTAATAATAATATGTATTAATGTAAGTTTATGAATTATTTGTCACAGCGTCAACATAAAAATAAATAAAAGATTCTTTAATTTTAAAATTAGTACTTATTTTAAACACACTGCTAACCTTTCACAGCTACTGATGAAATTTCGGAAATTTGAGTCCTGTTTGTGAATATATGGTTGAACCAGAGAGTGCAGCTCATAAAAAATAGATCGTGAAACTCTATAAGAATTCTCGAAAGTTTCTTCATCAGCAGTTCGGAAAAAAAGTATAATATTCACCGTGCACTGAACGATACTTGATATGATTTCTTAACCAAAATCTATGCTTTCTTATAGAGTTTTTATATAGTATGTTGTAAATAATTCGGTTTCTTCCGTGTCCAGCTCTTCTTCCTCAAGCAATGCGAGGTAGTAACTGTGACATATATGATAGATAGCCTGGTAGTCTATGGCAACATCATTGAGCAGCATTGATTCATGGCACTTGTCAATGAAAGCATGTAACATGATTAACAGTGATTCAATAAAATATATCTTGGCGAATGTGTCGTTTCATTAGTACTTTAAATAAATCAGTAACATTTCAACTTTTGTGTCGACAACATGTCTGTTTTCAGTAATATATCGCGTATAACTGACTTGACGCCCGTTGCTATTCGCTCAAATGAATCGTCCCGTGAACTCGGCCTAGCTCCGCACAGTCCGCAACTCCGCTCCGCAATACTCGCTCGCTCCGCTCCGCTGCCACGCTCCGCGTCAATGGACAGACACAGTCCGCAACTCCGCTCCGCCATACTTGCTCGCTCCACTCTACTGCCTCGCACTGCATCAATGGACAGGCAGCTTAATGAATGACATATTAACCGAATGTCAATAAAATAGTACAGTTTATCAACTAACTCCATCTATTGGATGTTTGATTAAATTAATCATCTAAAATGTTTTAAAATCACAGATGGAATGCCATCATAGATGCACAGATGGCGTTAATGTAATATTATGGAGTTGTGATAGTATTCTTTGGCAGTTCGCGTTCCGGGCTCCAAGCCAGAAGACCAAACGTAATGTCGGGGTGCATTTATTGCATGATTATAAAAAATCGATTATTAATTTAAAAAAAATCACGTTTAAAATCGATTTTTACTTTAAAACAATCGATTTTTAATCAATGATTATTTTTTCACATTCTTAGTAAGTCACAGTTAGTGTTTGTCACCTGTTATGACAAGTTTATAAAGCTCGACAAAATAAGTTCAGTGAAGCGAAAGTGTTTTACAATTGAAGAAAAAAGTGCAATATTAGGCCGTATACAGAAAGAAAGCTGCAAACTTATAAGCGCTTACCGGCGCTTAACAGCGCTGATAACCTGCGCAGGAAAATATATGAACACGCGCCGATAAGCACTGAACGGTGCCGATAAGCACTGAACGGTGCCGACAAGTTCCGACACGCTTCAATACGCGCTGGTCAGCGCTGGGCACTGCCATTTAAAATTAATAAACAACTGTGAAAACACGCGCAAATTACGGCAAGCATATTTATTTTGATAGATATTAAAATGGATAGTGACGTTTTTTCATTTCGGTTCTATCTGTATCAGAAAGTGTCAAAAATTTTATTTATTTCACGTTTTATTATCAAAACAACATAGTTCCATCTACATTTTGTGGTCATGTCGGTGCAACAGGGTTCTAAATGAAATTTATATGGTAGTTAGAACTTTGTTTCACAACTGGCAACACCGTGATATAACCCTGTCAAAATTACGGAACGTAGTGTATTGTGTGAGATAAGCGGAGAAATTATCAATATTCCTGTGGAAAGCTGTGAAAATCAATCTGCAACGTCTAACCAACAGATGGAGAACATGATATTGGATGAAGAAACAGGAGTATTTCGGTCGGAAGTTGTTCAAAATCATGATAATTGGTAAGTTTAATGCACTGTATTTTTTGTGTTTACGTTAGAATATTACATTGTTTTCGTAGATTTTATTATACTAAATTTTTGTTTTAGCGTTCGACAAAATGTTGATGAGAAAGGATCACGTTGTCCTACCAGGAAACGAGTCAGGAGAACTAAAGATTGGCAAAGAAATATCAGACAAAAACTGCACCAATCAGGCGAAGCATATACATCAAGTCGTGGAAAAGAAGTGCCAAAAAAATCATTAAAAATAAAAAGGACTGTTTTGCCGCTTGCAAGTACAATTGCAGCAAAGCAATATCTGAAGACCAAAGGATGGATATATTTACTTCCTAATATAGCATGCCGTCACAAAATGAAAAGTATCATTACATCTTGAATACATCAGAGCGAAAAATGAAAAAACGTTGTACTACTGCATCAAACAAAAAAAAAGTTCTCATACTTTTTTTATTTTGAAATTCAAGCTACAAGAATAAGAGTGTGCAAGAATTACTACCTTGGCACTCTAGCAGTATCGCAGAAGGTTGTTTATGGAGTACATGAAAGGAAAAATACTGCAACTGGTGTCCCTCAAAATGATCAAAAGGGTCGTCATGGTAAGCAGGTCAAGGTTTCAGATGTGCATAAAAATAAAATTCGCCAACACATTAATTCCTTCCCAGTTATTGAATCGCACTATTGCCGCTCAACAACCAAAAGACAATATCTAGAGACTTGTTTAAGCATTGCAATAATGTATGAAAAATATGTACAACTACATGAAGAAGATAAACCATTTGGAAAATCCCAAACATTCTTGAAGTCGTTAGCTATTGAGTAGAAAGTTTCTTTTGTAGGTATAGGCATATGTATCGGTTGTAATTCATTCTATAATATACTGACTGTTTCTTCAATTATCACCTTTACTGTAGAAATCACAATTCTAAATTCAAATACCAAATGTGCAAATGATGCACCAGTTGCAAGATAGCTGAAATGAAAATAAAATATTTTATGTTTCAGAGAACAAAGTCAGGAAGAAATGGAAATATTTGAGGGACCAATTTGCAATCGAACATGGAAAAATTCCAGTTTCACGTTCTGGGGATGAAGCATCTACTTCCTATGAACCAAAATGGCCATATTGCAAATCCCTGCTGTTTTTGAAAGATATCATTAAAGCAAGAAAATCTTCGGGAAATCTGACCAAATCGAAACGTCAACCAGTGGGATCTGGGCCACAAACCAGTGATTTTAATTATGTCCAAGGTGATTCTATTCTCGACCAAGACAATCCCGATCTAGACAATCTCGATCAAGACAATCTCGATCAAGACAATTTCAATCAAGACGATCAAGCCAGCCCAAGCAACGTCTCGGAGAAGACAGAAAGCACCAAATCACAGAAAGAGAGTTCAGTACCACGCAAAAAAAAAACAACACATTCAATCAAAATATGTTAGACATAGAGAGGCAAAAACTGGAATATTAGAAAAACAAAAGAAGTCAAAATGAAGATGATGATAACGTATTTTTCCTAAAGAGTCTCCTACCTCATATTCGCAAGATTCCTCAAGAACGAATGCTGTCATTTCGTAATGATATTCAAAAAACAGTAGATGATTATGCATACCAGTCTCGTTTTTCTTCACACTCATCTCTCTCTAGGTACTCATCGTATACGCCATCACCACCACCATTTACACATCAATCACCGGATACACACACCACTCAATTGATATCAGCAACACTCCAGTCACCATCAATCACACATCAATCACCAAATACAAACACAACTCAATTGATATCAACAACACTCCAGTCACCACCAATCACACATCAATCACCAGGTACACACACCAATCAATTGATATCAGCAACACTCCAGTCACCACCAATCACAAATCAATCATCAGATCTAAACAATTATTTTCATTCTTTCTCTGAAGGCATATCAGAATACCTTAATGAGGATCATAATTAAGAACACCTTTTTATAAAATCAGAAATAAAAGTATATTAACTTAAAACGGCTTTTGTTCTTAAAAATAAAACTACTTATAAACGTAAATTTTTGTTATTGAGATCAGAGGTGCGATTGTGTAAGGTAATCGTATTGATTTGACAGTTCATAGTGAATTCAATCGGCTACAATTTGTATGGAATGACATTTACTATGACACAATATGAGCTGTCAAATGAATACGATCGACTTTACGCAATTCCATAGCCGATTGGCCGATATCAATGTAATATTCATTTTTACTTATCATCACAGTCACATTAAAGGTTAGAAGTTATTCAATAAAAAATACATTTTAATATTTTTATTAATCTACTTAATAAACATATAAATAACTTTATCTTTGAATAAGTAAGCGATAAATATATTTGTTTTATACTAACCGAATGGTGACAACAAGTCTTTCTTCTGGAAGGATTGGTTGTTTATGCCAATTACACCAATTTTTCATCAAATGGTTTTTCACTAAATCCAAAATGTAATGAAATGTTTCTTGAGTCATTCTTGTATATTTATGAAATCTTTCATCATCAAATTTCAATTTATTTACAAATAAATGATGGTACTCTCCGAAATGTTTCCTTTCTCTATTAATGGGATGTATAGCTTCTTTTCGCATTTTCTAACAAAACCAAATCATCGTCCGATGAGTCCGACATTTTGCTTGGTCTGCTTCAACCTGCTTCCTGTAGAACGGACCAGCGCTGACAAGCGCTGGTAAGCGCTTATAAGTTTCCAGCTTTCTTTCTGTATACGGCCTTACACCGATTGGAAGCCGGTGAATCAAATGCAACCCACGCAAAGGAGTATGTCATTCTACAATATCTACAATAAAAAAGAATAAAGATAAGATTTAGCCGCTGTTTAATGCCAATGGTTTGAAATGCAAACGTGTAAGAACGTCTACTCATGAGCAGGTGGATAAGACATTGTTACAGTGGTTCACGCTTTAGCGTGACCGGGGAATACCTGTTAATGGACCCTTGCTACAAGAGAAAGCAAACTTTTTTGCTAGACAGTTAGACGTGCAAAATTTCACATGTTCCATGAGTTGGATAAACCGTTTTAAAGTAAGGCACAATATCGTTAGTGGTAAGATTACTGGCGAATCTTTGTCAGTCCAACAAAGTGATGTAATCGATTGGCTAGAAAGTTTGGCCTACTGTACGTGCACAATTTACAGTTTACTTACCTTATTTCCTTTCCTACCTAACAGACTCATTCTATAACTTTTCCTTTAACATTTAAGCTTAATTTAGTAAACAATCAATTTTTATATTATATTTGTTTACCGAAGAGGAAACATATACTTTTATTATTTTATACACAACTATATTTTATCACCTTTTAAGGTTGTTTTATTTATTAGTTTTAAGATCTAACCTTCTCCATGCCCTCAATAACATATACTCTAACCACTCACAATCACCTTCATACAAATAATCTAAAGTTACTACAAATACAATACACAACGAAGAGTCCTACCACGAGACGGTCACAACTTTATAATTATGGCCAATATTAAGTTAATATTTATTTTACCTAAATTTTTTAAAGGCGGTTAACTATTTGCTTTCTTCACTAGTTAGTAAGTGTGTAAAGGGGGTGTTGTTACAGCCGGTCCCTTGAAGGTCGTTATATCCGGATTCTACTGTAATCAATTTCACAAAATATAAGCATAGCATTGTGCACGAATATGAGATGAATGGAATATTCCTGGATCGAGTAAATCTTGTTCTTGATTTGGGTGTGTGGTTCGATTCAGATTTATCTTTTACACAACACTATAATTTAATTTGTATCAAAGCCAGGAAAATGCTTGCTTTTGTAGTGAGAGAATCTAAGCAATTAAAAAACCCAAGATCTTTAATATTGCTCTACACGTCCTTAGTCAGAAGTTTATTAGAGTATTGCTCTAGTGTTTGGTCACCGGTGTATAACAACCACATCAATAGAATAGAAGCTATTCAAAGCTGCTTTTTGAGAAGTCTTTATGCTAGGTTTGGTCTGAGACTTATATTACAGGATTATGACGATCGGCTTAAACATTTTCCATTGGTCAGCTTGGAGAAGCGCAGATGGGTAATTGATTTGACTATCTTACATAAAATAGTAAATAGTTAATATTGTGACCAACTCCTAAACCAGGTAATTTTAAAGTACCTACAACAGTTCAAATTAAATCAGTTCAAGATTCTTCAAAGTTGAAGTTCAATCAAGAGTTCCTAAATTGTTAAATGTATCGGATACTTGATGCTAGTCTGATGATTCAAGATGCCTGGATCCAACCCAAGCAAGGTACGATTTTTAACTGTTACAAACACGCTGGTTTTGTCCGAAGCAACGTAGAATGTACCATAACTTCAAACGCAGATGATTTTAACGAAGGAGACAACGTACCGCTAAGTGTTTAGGCGAGGGCTATTGATAGGCATCGGTTACCCATAACAAATGAGGACTTTGAACAATATACATGTCATTGTAATTTTAGCAGCTTTAACTTCGTCAAGCGGAATACAGGTTTTAAAAATCCTAAACTTGCTAGACAGTATTCCAAAGGATACGACAACACGAGAGCGAGACAGTTCTTGATTGAATATTCTTTCTGGAGTACCTACTGCATGATGTCCAGAAAATGGCTTCATGATGCATGATGTTCTCAGCGCAAATGCCGAATCTACTAAAAATACATAGGGCAAGTTAGTGTTTCTATTGGGAGGTGGTAAATTGACGCTATTTGTTTCAATTTTTTTGTCGTAAAACACTTTGATTATTTACTCCTCCATCACTTATTCGTCCAGGGCAACCTATATCTACAAATATTAAACAGTAGTCACTATCAACTTATGCTACTAGCACAATACTGAAATGCCCTTTGTAATTAAAGTATTCGGAGCCAGTGAATAGCGTGTTACTAAGTAAAAAAAATCAAGAAGACAAAGAAAATGATGACACTGCAGTCAAAGTAAAAAAAATCAAGAAGACAGAAATTTGATTGTCTTTGTCACATACGAGTATTTTTTTAATAAAAGCGGACAAAAGTCGAAATCAGCAAAATAATCAAAAGTCATACTGCATCCATTGTTTATCTAGCCTGGTAACCCCGCTCTCTAATTACAGTCATTAAATCCTCCCACGCCCAGTGTTGCCACCTTAGCCCTTTTGGGGCTAGATCTAGCACTTTTTATTGTAGGTGAAGTCGTTGTTTAATTATTTAGCCCGGAAAGGGCTATTTAGCCCTTTTTACATTTGTGTCATAGATATTGATGTTTGTAGATAATCCGTTGATACCATTTGTTCGATTATGGCAACATACCGCATTTCTACGCCGCGCCGGTCCGGGTCTTCCCCGTGGAGTCTACAGGGTCGGGAATTCCTGGAGCGTTTTCTTTTTATAAACCGACTAATTTAAGATGTGTATCAAAACACTATTTTTTCATAAGTTGATATATCAATTGTTTTTTGCAATATAAAAATAATATGAAAGAACATTTATTTTTCCCTCATTGAAAGTCATTCGCCTAAAGTTCATCTTTGTAATTTGAGGTTTTTCATAGAACATTGTAATAGTTTGAGTTTTTTGTCTACGAAGTGAATGTGTGTGAACATTTGAAAGTTCTTGTGCTTGTAAGTATTGAATAACTACGTAAGATGGATTTGCCGGTACAAAAAATAACCACATATAAGCAACATTACAGAAAGGTGTGGGAACTGGAGTTCAAGTGGTTAAAACCAGTGCCAGGTGATTCGTTGAAAGCCCTGTGCTTGTATTGCAAAGTAGAATTAAGTGCAAAATTAAACGACATCCATCGCCACAAGGACACAAAAAAGCATAAAGATAAGTCAATTCCCTTTACGTCATCCTCACAAACAAAAATAGTTGTGGAAAAGCAAGATACCAGCAGTGTACCAGCAATAAAGATGCCGCAGGAAACATGCATATCAGGAGCTTGGAAATTTGGCCAAAATTATTTTATCTTTGCCACATTCTAACGCCGATGTAGAGCGTGTCTTCAGTTCAATGAACTTGATCAAAACTAAAACGAGAAACAGGATGGGGTTCACAACAATGACTGCAATTTTAAATATACGATGGGGATTGAAACGACTCAAACAGTCTTGCTTTTCTCATAAGGTTCCTAAGGACATAATAGACAAATGTGGTAGTAATTTGAAATACACTTTCAAATTATTGAAAAATACCACAGATTTAAATGAGCCATCTACTTCTGCTCCGCCAATGGAGGATTTAGAGGATTCAGATGAAGACTTTGATTTTTGATTATTTATTGGTATTTTTTGTTAATACTTTTTTGTTCATAACAACATAAATACTTATGTTTTTTTAATTTTAAATCTCTTTAATTTTATTTTGTTTTGGCTAATGATTACTTTAAGATGTCAAACCGGTTAGTTTTGTTGAATTTTAATTTAAAAAAT